AAGAAAGAGAAAAGAAAGAAAAAAGAGTGAGGGTGAGAGAACATATCTTTATATCTTCATTTTTGTATTTATTCATCGATTTCTTTCTTCCTTTCGTTATATATCCATTTGTTTATCCATATTGATATCTTCACAGGGTACCCTTATAACAGGTGCTTGTATTAGAAGGGGCTGTGTAGTTTTGTAATAGGTAGGGAATAATGATAATATAAGCGGCAAATGACAGGGAACAGCTTTTAAGTTGAGTCTAACATCGCCTATACAAGCTTTATGAATTTATATTTAGTAGATCCTCAGTGATTTGATTTCAAATTTTTCTCCCCTTCTCTGGTGTATCTCCGCCAATATCAAGACTTGACATTCCGATTTAGGGCACCGATAACTGGGTTCAATTTATTTGTGGACAGATGAACGAATATCTTAACTTTTAATATTTTCAGTGAAATTCAAGAGAAATGTCCATCAGTCTATCTTAAATATTAGTTTCAATACCTTTTCTACGTTCCTTTTTCCAAAAAGAAATCATGAACAATCATTAAGACCATAATTGTGTATAATTTCATTTATTTAGGAAAGATTTTAATATTCTGACCGAGCCCTCTAAATTTACAGACCTTATTCATTCTTGACAACTAACTTATCCTAGAATTTCATCCTCTTTTTTCTTTTGGCATCATTATCTCTCATCTTATCAAAGCAAGATTTGCAAACCACTAGTATAAAATCTTTACGTATTTTTCTCATTATTTCTTTACGGCTAATCTAAAGACGGTTTATTTAAGGGGATGGGATAACTTTGCCTCTGATTCTAAACAAAATCCTGGATTTAGCTCATGCTGCAATTATAATTATAAACCTTTTGGTCAGAAATGAATACCACGATTTTTACAAGCCAATCGCATGTTTGATTACCAAGATATTTATGATTGGAATTCAATTTTTTAATTTTTTTTTATAACACTTTACAGTTTACAGGGGAAAACATGTAGACGTAGGCCATGCATCTCATATTTGTATAACTGGACACATTGTTAAACGATCCCTTTAAAGGTACTCTGTCCCTTTTGCAACCAACCTCAAATGCTGTATAGAACTTTGCAGGAATTATGAATATGTCATGTATGTCCTATCTGTGAAATTTAAACGTTAGCAGTGTCCTCATATTCAAATTATGTAAGGAAACCCGTTTACTTGCTAGACTTCACTGTCAGACACTATTGAGTGACTGACTGGCTTTTTTCTTCTTTGGTAATAACATACATGAAAAGAGTTGTAAAGGGTACATGAGCATTTGTCTACATCAATAACCCACTTCTTGTGATGGCCAAGATTAAACTGATTGAATCTTTGCGCAGCATAAAACGTATGACCATTCGGTACAATTGTCTGAAAATCAAGACTATTACTTTTGGGCTCTATAGTCCTAAAGTCGATTTGACAACTAATAGTCGTTATTTTCCCACTTGAAGACATTTTCAAGCCCCACCTTTTTTAGGGAAGTTCTAAATTAGTATTATCTTTCAAATGCAGTTGGATTTTAACTTTTTCATTTTTTGGCCTGCAAATGGGACATAGTACCTTTAAAGTAAAACCCAAAGGTACATTAATGTTTTGACAGTTCAAAATAAGAAGTATTTGCATGCCATCATGCTATTCCAGTTTCCTCGAGTATACCCACGAGTACCATGCATTCGAGAAGTTTTTACACAGATGTCACGATAAACGACTTGATTTTACTTTCGAGTACGTCAAGTGTTTTGGCACATTTCCAGCACTGAATGATAATTTAAAAAGTTAAATGAATCTGCATTCTGTACTTTCAGTTTCAAATGAATTGTAAATATAAATGCAATAGTAACTGTTTTCTTTTTATCAAAGCGAGGAGTCTGACATTGGTTGACTATTGAGTCTACATCGTGGATAAATTTACAACCTGAAGATGACTTATCATCATGAAGAGAAGAACTAAATGTCTATCTGAAAGTAAAACATCGAAAATAGTTTGAAAATGCATATGATTTAGGGACAAAGTCAGTCTACGTGGAATAAAACTTTTCTTTTTCTTTTTATACATTTCCATCACCCACCATCATGTTCAGCATGGCGAAAACGTGACATTTCCCATAATAATGTGTTGTAAGGTAATAGATTCATGTGACAACTAATGAGTTCTTACTTATAATTTTGTAATCTGAAAATTTTAAGAATTTTTTCGGAACTAAGTAGATCTATTGAAAAGGGAAAACTTAAATTGCCTTGAACTTGAACAAGAATTATATTTATGCCGTGCCGCGATAAGAAAAGGTCTGTAGTATCATACTTGAGCTATGATAACCCGAATCCAAAAATTGTGTTTTTTAATGAAATTGAACCTTGAAAAAATGTTGCCCGAGCAAATGTTGGGTTTCATATTAAAGACATCGGTAGTATACTATTAATTCAGGCGAAAATAAAGGTATGTCAAATATCACAAGAATCAACCAAAATGCTTTCAAACACTTTACTTTATTCTCTATAATAATATATTGGAATAAGTAATGTCAATGTTCGTACATTTCCCAAGGCGTAGTACAAAGTATTGAAATTGCCAGTGGTGATATTCTGAAAATCTTTGCAATCAAAATACCCCACAAATAATATTTGCGAGAAATAATTATCCTTCACAAATGAAATTTCACATCTCTGTTTAGCTTGCTAATCCTAACTTGTCGCCTTTGCATTTATTTTGATCGTGCATTTATTATTCTAATATGAACTCTTTTTCAACTTTGAAAAATGTCCCGATCATCCTTTTTTCCTTGCAGAAAAAAAAATGTGACGATGAGGAAGAACTTGTTTTCTCTTGGCCCTGTGGGCTCTTAAAAGTCTTCCTGTTTTTTCAGTGGCTTTGTAGGTAATTAATGACAATCGATCGACTTTAAGTAGGTTGAATGACGTCAAGACAATGACTTTGAAGAAAAAATACGGTAAAATATAATTAAGTTGTTTCTCTTGCCCCGATACATGTATTATCCATGCTATTTTAAGATGCAAGAGTAACGTACAGAATCTATAGAATGAAAATTAAGATCTAATCACTTTTCATTAAAATGTGTCTAGCCGCCAAAAAAAAGGTTCTATGTCTATTTTTTTCCTATTTTCCAAATAGGTATCGAAAAGAAACATTGGTTATTTTCCAAATCGATATTAAAAAGAAACATTGGTTATTTTATTAAGTGTGTTAAAATTATATTTGTATTTTTAATCATTAATGTGGAGTACCAAATTATATATCCCTACAAACTCTCACTTTTCAAAATGAGCATTTTATTCAGGGTTTGTATATTTCGGTGACATTCATATCCAAAATGCTTATGAAGGATAGTTTGTCAAAGCCTAAAGATTTCAAGGAAGACCTTTGACCCACATACTTCATTCTCCTTCGTTCACAAGATGAGATACATGTAGTTTCACCTCCCTGATGGGATGCAGTGACTGTATTCTATCGCCAATCATCAGTGATAAAGATTTCCCCTGGGCCTTGGACGCGAATCAGAATAACATCCTTAAATGATTGTTATCTTGATATATTCTTAGTAAAGATGGACTTAAGAAATAACGAAAGAAGGTTATGCCTTCTTCGATTTCAGGATGTCTGTGATCACGGGGAGCCTAGCTAAGAGCATCTTGTTTCCAAGGTTGGGGGAAGCCAAATCGGCAACTTGTTATCCCCCTTCTTCATCAGGAAAATGCATGCGGCTTTATTAAACCCTAGGAGGGTGATTCTTGTTTTCATCATTTAAAAATGATTTTGAAATGGATGATGGGATAAACATGTTTATTTGCCTTGATTTAAATTAAAAAAAAGTTATTTGGCCTCTTTTCATCTTTTTGGGTGGTTATTTTACCACGCATTTATTCTTGTTGTCTGCTTGTTCTCAAATTTATGTGACCTTCTTCTATTCTATTTCATTAAGCCCTTGCTCGTCTCTGACCTCTTCTTCCTATGTCTATGTCATGATATCAAATACCAAATTTATCTCATTTCGTGAGTTGCGGGTTGGGTGCGCCTGTGTCCGCGTGTATGTGTGTGTGTGTGCCTGCGTGTCGGTTTGTGGGTGTGCGCGATCAGGTGGCCATTATGATTTTTAGGCATGTACATTTTCAAATCTCTTCAATGTAATTTGCTTTCTAAAAACAAATTGAAGGGAAGAATTTTCTCCAGGAGGAGAGAAGATGGAAAACTGATCATTAATATCTCTCGACGTCTAAATTCATAATGGCGACACGTTTTTATTCTCTATTTAATTACCTTCCCAATTTCTGTTTATTTAAACAACAATATATTAGAATTACCATTGATAGTTCAAATTCCAATGTATAGGAAGAAGTATCATCGATAAAGTCAAATTCAATGGATTATGGTATAAATACATTATACTAGTCATCTAACATCTGACATGTGTTAACACGACACCACTTACAAAACGTGGAATATAATAGTAATGTAAGGTTATTGAAGAAAACAATGATTTCAACGCAATACATAAGTTGGGAAAAATATTGCCCTCGCGATGTTGCCATGGTTGCATTGTCACCGAGAAATACAGTAGGTCTACCCTTGCTTCCACTTCCGTTTCTAATAGACCTTCATGTTACTGTGACTGACCTAAAGGTGTAAGTAAATCAGCATTGTTCAGCAAACTGCAGGACTATTATTACCCGAATCACAAAGTCCTTTAAGTACGGCCCTACCCTCTGGCGTTTCCCCCACTTAAAATGTCTAAAATGTGCAAAATTCGGGAGTTAATATTGCTTAGCAACTCAATAAGGCTGTAAATTAAATACACCGCATGCATTAAACCCGTGACCATTATAAGGGGGAGATTGGGAAAAGTATCATGGGGAAAGCAACATCGACCCGTGAATAGCACGGACCCCTTCCCAGAATAGCTCAGTGCGCATAAACGGAAACCCCCTGCGATCCGAGTGTGGAAGTGGCAATTACTTGGAGGATCTTTACCCTGTGCATTCTGCGCGACTGCCTAATCATAGAAAGGGGGTTCGTTCAGAGGGGCTCTGGCTTTGTACTTTCCCTGGTGCCATTTTTGTAGATTGGCACAGTCGAGACGGTTGGGACAGTGTAAAAGGGAGCTACGATCGAGCGTTCAATCGAGGCTGTTCAGTTTCATCCCAACACCTCTGTCCATTATTGGGGCGCTTCCTGCTGTATGTCTTTATAACACTAACTGCTGGTTTTACGCCGAACGAGCACAGGCTGTTCGTGATTGAAACATTCAACCTGGTCGTGATTTAGCATTCGGACAACTCTTCTTTGTTTCTGCTCCAGAACCTAGTGGATATCTTTGGAACACTTTGGTCATAACACTTGGTCCACGATGGCAAAGCGACGGTGTGTGTTCGGTTTATTGGCTGTTGCATTTCTAGGTAAGTTCTGTGCAGGATTGTGAAGGTTTTTCTCTCATTTATAGCAGTCTTGGCGTTGAAGCACATCTTCAATTTTACACGACTTAAAGTGTAGTATGGAATTTCATCCATTGTGGTTTGGATTATAATCTGAAATGAGGAATACTGACCTTTCTTTAACCGCACCTACCATCAAGATAGTCACACACTTAAACAAAATCATGTAAAATCTGATATCTGTATAGATATTCCAACAAAGAAATGTGATATCCGCAGATTAAATGATTACAAACATTAAGCAAATATTTTAATACCTAGATAGTGCAACACGCATAGGGTTTCACTTCTCTTCATCAGCCTGCGTGTCTGCCTCTTGTTACTCTTGCAACTTAATTTACTAAACACATGGGAAACACAATTGAGACAACTGAAAGTTATAGGGGTAAACCATGGTGTAACATGAAGACCAGTCTCTTGTTTCTTGATCACATGGTCTTGCAGTGTAGTATCATTCTTAGACCATGATCATAGAATTTATTTCCGCGTGGAAAATCTTATATAAATGAATCCAATGTGGCGTAAAAACAAGTTGGGGTCCCTTGCTTTAGGTCTCGTCTCCTGAAAGCCAGTGAACTTGACTATATTGGGGAGCTATAACGTTTGTCTTCGCTACTTCGATAAACGGAATGAAGCTTAGAAGAAGAAGACAACATCATACACAGCGCTATGTCAAACACGTATAGCATTACAATAAGAGATAAGGAACAGTTCTGAATATCAAAATCATGCTCAAGCATAACTATCCCTTCAGAGATTTCTGCAGTAGGTGCTTTAACCTTTACCTTTTACTGTTTGCCAAATTCCAAGTGACGTACAGTTGCTTCCTTCCTTAATCATAACGGCTCTCATGGATATTGATAATTATGATTCTAGGATAAGGCTCGAGTTTCATATCTTAATGGTGTATTCATCTTATTATAAATGAATAAATAAATGTAAACTATCGTTCATGAAAGACAACATAATTTAGGGTAATGCCGTAAAAGGGCTTGAGATTTCTCTTGCCTGTATGCTGTTGATAAAAATCATACTTACGCGGATAAATAAATAGATAATGGAGAGAGCTCTAAGCACTGCAGCGAAAACTTCACCTAAATAATTCATCTGTCATTTGTCATCGTTATTTCAACAATTCTTTTAAAGCATATAACAATTTGCATTGAATGTTTCATCTACATATATATTACCTTGAATTCGTTATGTCAAATTACGTCCTTATTCTAAGTCATTTCTCGACCCAGTATATGATTATTATGGTGACGACAAACAATGTAGTTTGTTCTATTTCATTCTTCTTTCAATTCTTCATATCCATTTTCTTATCAATTTCAGTCATATGAGTTGGTATGAATTTGCACACCTGAAAGTTGAATATACATATATTTCTTTACAACAATATTGTTTTCCATAACGACATTCAAACTATGAAACAATATCAATTCATAGCATTAAAATCTAAAGAGTATGATCGTAAGACTTAGTAGTTCTTGTATAGCAGTTGCACACAGACTGCTGTAGGCCATAGAACAAAGATCCAGACAAGGATATCTAAAAATATCTTCCCCCTGATTAACTTCCTATAAATCGAGCACTTATGACTGAAATTGGTATTAAATAATTTTATTCCGCTTCCGTTTTATTGTCTTGCATTTCATCAATTTTTGACTTCACAAGGCAACTTCTAGCTGATATCAAAAGTAGTTCTGGCGGGGCCTAATCCCATAACGACAAGTTCCTCAAACGTAAGATCAAAGTATCTGTCGAGGCCCCCAGCGTGGACGTGCAGTCACGCAGAATGAGGTCACATGACTGTCATGAAGAAAGATCGACTGCGTCACCATGTGCATGTTGCCAAACTAATGATAATAAAATAAGTTAAAGATAGAGGCCTAAAGCATCGTGAGCCACATATTTCGACAAAAGCTTTAAAGTTCGCAATTGCACTCCTCTGAATTCTAATACCTTTCTGTTCTGATAATACTGCATGCTATGCGTTTGTATTATTGTAAAAAGGCAGCAAACAGCAAATAACTGAATTGTAATGCTGTGTTTTACTTTTCAAAAGGCGAGAGGTGGGTTTCATTAAAAATTTCAAGATTATTCGTGTTTTAATATATTTGCCCCGTAGCTTACATAGCTCGAATGTATAAAAGAAAAATATACTGACGTCTGAATAATCTAGTCCTACAATATGATTTTGCTTTCCCAAAAAGTTCGTTATGCACATTATCATCAAATATAACAGCTGGTAAAGTTGGGTACATAGAGTTATTGAAATGAAACAACCAGAGAACCTGACGCTCAATACTAGACCCTTTGGGAAGATTTTGGAAGAACATGTTTAATGGCTCTGAATGAAGCAATTACTAAAGCCTACATTATCTTTAAATCATTGTTTGCTTATATTGATATGTTTATATATATATATATATATATTTAAGTGTGTTTATACGGGAAACGAAACCAAACCAAACCGTACTACAAATATACGATGTCTGCCCATAGATTTAGGCAGAAAGGGGCCACAGACCAATTAATGTGCTGCAATATTCAGATAAGGTAATCGAACTAACAGTCCCACCCACACTAAGAAATGTGTGTAACACGTGATCACATATCTGAAAATGTTAGTTCTGCTTTCGACATTCACCAGCATATTTGTCACCTTGCAAGTATATTTTGCTAGTACCAATATTCCCTCTTAGAGGGGAGATTGGACTATAGACTACTATTGGATATAGACTACTACAATTACAAGAAAAAGTTTCTCTCAAATGATCATTTCATTTACAGAAATCAAGAAAAGCTCTACTATATCTTATTCAACTTTATACTTAAATGTTAAAGGCTAACGGAAATTTATGTCACTTTAACCAACAAATTCGGGATTAAATCGAGGTCAGATCGATGATTCATACGGGGAACCCTAGATAATCCGTGGGTTGCATTTTACTCAATGTTTTTGTGACTGAGTCATGTCTTGTCATTTCGTATTAGGTAAACAAAATGCTACAGCTTTTTCTGATGTTCGCAAGTTATTTGGCTATATTTTCTTGGCACTTCTTTGATATTTTTTGCACATTTTGTTTACAAAAATCACTTAGCGATGAGCAAATATTGCTCAATAATTTATGTTAAAATGTCAATATGCATGTCTTGCCTTTGTACGTAGAGCAGCATTTAGCTTAGGCCCCTAATTTATTAAAATATTGAGGGGCGGATGGAAGGGATATGGGGAAATAACAAGGGAGTTGACTCATTTTCAAGAGCGAAATCTTTGCCTATGTCCTTATTGTCTATGTCGTAGCTGCGTCGATTTACTTGGAAATCATACCTTAATAAGTTGCTTTGTTATGCATATTTTTTTTATAACAGAGGCCTAAAAAGGTCCACAGTTGATGTAGAAGCCTAATAAAAGCCCACAGTTTTTTACGTAGAAGTCGATAACCTGATAGCTATCTTGCAGTGGAGTATGTTTAAACGATATGTAAAGAAATTGATCCTGTGGTAATATGTTGTTTGGTGGGGACTCTAAAACAAAGGGCGGATCATGTCACAAACGCGTCATCCGTCCCAATTAACACCTGTCATCCATATCACACGTCTCACACTTTATGCCACAAACAATGCACATACATGTAGGTATTGATCAACAGCCATTGTTTATAAAGACAACAACATCACATTTAGAACGAATTTTTCTAAAGATCTTCTCAAAGAGAACGTTCAGTGTTTATTCTTTTTCTAATTCCCATTGCCCATGAGACGATAATTTGGGTGCGTTATTAGTACATTTGATAAAGCATATGACGGAAATTATGGCATGCACCACAAAGTATTCATACTACTCATTTTGCCTTCCCTTGATGTACGTTGTCATTTTCATGCGGCGCGTCAAAGGTCGCACCAGTTTTTGACGCAATCGTACATCAATATAATGGCGCTTTATTGTTTGTACCAGGCATAATGGCATTTGTTGTCGGATGATGTAAACGATCATACTCAGTAAAGCAAACTTGTTTGCAAACTTTTATCATGTTTATCAGTGGACGAACTTCCTGGTAGTAATTAGAAATGATTGTTACCTATGTTACAAAGAATATTAAGGCCCCATCCCACAATTTAAAGTTTTACACTCTCTTATTGCCCACATTATGTTGGTGTCATCGATTGGAAATGATCATGTCAACTCCGAAAGTGGAGAAGTAATTCTGAATAAAACTTGCAGAGCGATGCTGTAGAGTGAATAAACTCTGTATTGAGGTCCCCCATAATCCAAAGGATTTTCTTAGCTTTGTGACTTATTTTACAGTACGATGAAACATATTACATCTAGATTTAAACATTATTTGATTATACCTCTCAAATCAAATTTCCTCTTGGCCTACATGGGATTAAATCAATTGTTAAGCGAGTAATCAAAATAGCTAAGTGGCAAATACGTCATTGATTTATAAACCTTTAGAATCATAAGTAATGATCATGTCAATCTGTAAAAGTTTTCCTCGGGTTCAGATGTGGTTGTGTGTTGGTTGATGCGTCTGTAAGGGCGTCTGACTATCTCGTTTGATCAATCACGAGATTCTTATGATCAAGGGCTTTCGTCGCCTCTTTACGCTCAAGAACAGAACCGCTCAGTCTGATTGATGATACATAGTACCATTTCCTGTAAGTGTTGATGCAGGGATCAACCATGTATCCCTACCAAAGTTCTCTTTTCTTCTCCGTTCCTTGGTTTTTGAGATTCATCTGCAAAATTAAGTCCATCAAGCATGGTTATTGTAGTCTCTGATAGCAAGAAAAAAGCTCAATTTTGAAGATCATTTAAGGCGATGCTTACAAACCGAGGAGGTGATCTGAAGAGGAATTATAAAACAAAACACTGAAGTTACATATCACATCCAAGTGATTGTGATTATATACTGTACGTTTTCTCACGGTAACAACCTGATTTATTGAGTCTAGATTATAATAATTCTGTATTATACAACACCTACGTGGATCCTTGTCATTTGATTGGACGGTTGTTGATCACATGATATTCAATAGATGGTATATTGCACGGTCGTGCATTTTTGGTTATATGCAGACTGCACCTCTCTGCTGCATGTGCGCGTATCCCTGCGTGTATCTGACGCGAAGGCAATCTGCATGTAATCGAGAAGGCTTGACTCGAACTTTAATTTATCTTTATAAGGAGTAAAGCATAATTTGTTGATTAACGTTCTATTAGGTCTTCTTCGATGTTGTATAAAACAAATAATGAATGTTTTTCATTCGTTTAATAGTGCAAATATGTTCATTCGTTGAAAGATTAACGTTAATTCTATTCAACTCGGCTGACGCCTCGTTGAATAGAATGTTAATCTTTCAGCTCATGAACATATTCGCACTATTGAACTCATAACCATTCATTATTTGTATACTATTTCTGCCTGGAATATTAGATGATGAAAATGAAATAATGTACTTGCATTCTTAAACTTATGACATGGTTCATGTGTAATTTATTTCCATACGCATTTCTTCTTTTCAACAACATAACATCCATCGTGAAATAAATTGTATGGTCTCACAAGTCAAAAGGTCACTTGAAGAGATGTAATTCGAGAATTTCTATTCTATTTCCCATAAAATTATAATTGCAATTAATGTTAAATCATTTTTAACTGGTGCACTGGTTTGAAATAACACTGTTATAAAAGTCTATGAGCTATCACATTTATTGTAAAAAAAAAAGCATGTTTCGCTTATAAAGGCAGGGTGGTGAATTTGTTAACAAAACTTATTTAAAGACAATGGTAAATTTATCCAAGGGAAAACAATGTGACAACTACTTTCAAACGCTTCTGTGATGTTAGTACTTTTTTTTGCATGAAGATAGTTTCGATGGGATTGGATTTCGTATACGTAATTTTTGTTGTCGTTGATTTTTAATTCACTCATGTCACCATAGGTAACCTAACCCGAGCTCGTTGTTCTGCAACGTATGTCATGTGTTCTATCCTTATATTCTGAAATATTCTCAACCGATTTATTGTGATTGTAAAACACTCAATTCCAATCGTTAACTTTGAGCAAAATATGGAGACTCAAGTTCAAATGTTAAAACGAAATATAACGACCAAGTTTGATTATAACCTTCTCTGTATTTTTTTGTCTCCCCGTACAGTGGCATCAACCCTTGTCACAACGGCTCAAAGTGAATCTGACGAAACGGGAAATAGAAGGCCTTCGGCATCAGACTCTGGAAGTGGAGGCACAGGGGTAAACGGTGGTACTGGAGGTGGTGCTCGGGGTGGTGGTACGATTCCTGGTGTGAGTGCTGGTGCAGGAGGCGGGGTTGGAGGCGGCGGAGGAGGTGTCAGACCCGGTAAACCCAATTTCGGTCTTCCTGGATCCGGAGGTGGAGGGACGGGCTTTGGAGGGGGACCTGGGGGAGCAGGAGGAGCAGGAGGAGCAGGAGGAGCAGGAGGAGCAGGGGGACGTGGAGTAGGTGGTGCTGGAGGAGCCGGAGGCGGGACGGGAGCAGCTGGTAGGAGAACTGGGGTTGGTATTCTTCCAGACATCCAGGTGATTGATCCTCGCAATCCTGCAAGAGGAACCGGTTCTGGTTCCCGCTACCCAGGTTACAACCCACGTTCTACATACCCAGGACAAAATTATCCAGGATCACGATACCCGAATGTCGGCAATCCCGGTATGAACTACCCTGGAGGATATCCTGGAGTAGGAGTAGGTGGTTTCCCAGGACAAGGTGGCTACCCAGGCAACAACTATCCAGGACAGAACTACCCAGGCAACAACTTCCCAGGCAGTAGATTTCCCAATATAGGAACTGGCGGATATCCAGGATCCGTCTTCCCCCATGGACCAGGATATCCACGCAATGGCTTACCAGTGGGTGGACCAGGCTTCAGGAACCCTAGCATGACCGACCCCAAGCGTTTCCCAGGAAGGCACATCCCTGGTTACATCCCAGGAAGGGGTGGAGGCTACGGCGGGGCCGGTGGACGCGGCATACACCCTGCAGCAGGAGGACCAGCCTACAACGGAAGACATCTTGGAAATAATATCGCTGAGGTGAAAGGCCGCAACTTCGGTAAAAAGATCGGTATGGGCTTTGGTGCACTTATGGCTGTTGTTGTAATAGGAGCTTTATGTGTCGTAGGTACAGTAGTTTCAGTTTTAATAGCATGTGCTCGACGAAGACGTCGCAATCAACTAAGATAGATATTTATAGACACTTTCCATTAAGAATAAAGTAATATATCAATCCTCATTGGTCAGTATACTACTAAAATTCAAACTCGACGCTGGGTTGAAAGTTCGATCTTAAGGCCGGGTTTATAAACCGAAGGTAGACAGATAACTGAGTAATGTCTCAGTTCAGCATGTCTTTAGTTTTCGTGCCGGATTTAGCTGGATTAATACGGGCCATCAGGTGTCGGGTCTAGTGTTCACGCAAACCATTCTTTTTGTGCCATTCGTTTATATTTAAAATTCAAAATACAGACCTTCTGTCTATATATCACAATTTGCAAAAGCAGAACAGGAGAAAGAGATTCATGTCAAGACTTAAACAATTTTATTTCGTGTCAAAAATTTGTTTAGGCGAAGGAGAAACGTAAGACCAAGCCTTTTCCCATATTTTTTTAAGTGTATGCATTGCCTGCTAATAGGATGTAAATCATGTACATTTCGGTAGTGTGTTTTAATTAGTTCTTATTTTTTTTATGTGGCTAAAGAACTTACGAATATCAATAATCTATCTCGATCGTGAAATATACTTTCCCCATGATCGAGATAGATTACATGTGTGTACATGAAGTATAAATATTACTTGTGTATATTTGAAATACCGTTTTTAGTCCATTGAAAAATACAGATTGTCATCATTCTCGTACGTATTCAATTATTATGTGTTATAATGTGGCTAAAGGCAATTATTAGCAGTTCATATGTACAAAACATATGATTTTTGTCACAAATAGGATATGACAATTTTTGTGTACCCTAGCATTACTGCATTAAACATTTTCTCTATCACCTTTCTACACGTACTTAAACGTTTAAGATCCATATTACATAGTTTAACATTTACTATGCAGTTAAATGCAATGACAGAAATGACTGTGAATACTGTTCTAATTTGCTCTGTTGAAAAATATACAAAGTATTCAATGTATTAGAATGTGTATAAGTATGCTTATTATATCTTGGCCGGTTCAAGAATATATTGAAGGTAATGTTGAAATAGAAAAACCGTTGGTATAACGGCTTAAGAATATTTTCAGGACAAGTCTTTGATTCCTAATTCAGTTTTTATCGTTCAAATCTCAAATTGAGTGATAACAAACTACTTTATATTTTTTATAATAAAAATCATTATGTTAGTTATTGAGGGATTGAAGGTAGAGAGAGGTTTAAATATCCTAAAGTCCTTGAAACACCCTACTTCTCGCAAGGGAATTCGATCTAAGAGTTGACATGGAATATGACATTATACCTTTATTAAGATATATTTGTATTGAAATGGGTGGATCTGCTGTGTCTAATTGACCTGATCAATCACTTTCTTTCTGACTAAAAAAAAAATCAACCCGAAATTTTCCATTTCCATCTAGTGGGATAAGCCAGTTGTGAGATATATCTTTTATCAGGTCATGATCTATATGACCATAATGGGTTGATCTGGAATATACGTCAGAAAGGAACAAAAATAGAACTGACAAAACTGTGCTTTTATAACAGCGCGCGAAACGTTTATTAGTGATAACAGGTATTCAGCAAGTGATGGCTGTTAATAGGGAGAATTCACAAGTTTGTATCAATATAAATACTATACTTTTAAAAACGTATTAAAATCGTGTGAACAAAGCTAATAAAAAAAGGAATTGTCTGATTTTGTTTTCCTTCGACAGCAAGATAATTATGTATCAGTACAATTTACGCTCGATAAATATATATTTCTTTGGTAAAGAAATGCTTTTCACAGTTTTAAAAGTGTTTCGCTTTATTATACCAAGTTTCAAAGATATGTATTCTTTATCCCATATATTGATGTATATATAAATGGTCAATTTACAAGATGTACAGAAGAAGATTAAAGACTGCATTTTTACCAAATGAAAACAAAGCTTCTGCAGTGTCATGCTTTTATGGCTCATGTGTATGCCCTGGTTTTCCATAAGTAATGCAACATGATAATTGGTTCATAGCTTTTGGGTTTTCATAGTACCTTGTAGCGTACCGATACATTTTTCTTAAATTTTTGTTAAATTTTAGTGAAAATAATGTATTGTCCATTGGTCTCTGAAGCTTAAGCAGGTGATAGATTATCAGACTATCTGTACGTCAATAGAAATTGTATTTGAAGAAAAAAGAAAGAAAGTTAGGGTAGTAGGACATTTATAAATACATTTTCCTAATGGACATTTTCAATACTGTTTCAAACATATTTATCCCACCCCCTCTGAAAGTTTCATAATAAAAGCAATTTCATAACCAGGGGGTGAAAAGTAGGCATTGCGACGGATTTTATTTTTTCCCTTACAAAACGCAAAGTTGTCAATATAAACATATCAAATCGCTGTTGCCTGTACACATTTAATATGTTCATATATAAGAATTTATAGGAAGTTAGATGGGAAAATAGATTGAAGGCAGATTAAGAGCTCTCTATTTATAGGAATGAGGACAGTCAACTCGATCCAAAAGGGATTACTGAGTTGCAATGGAGGTCCTTTCTACCCAAATTAACCAAGCTGTTTAAATCACTTAATTTCACTTCGATTTTGTAAAATGAATAATTCTCTGAATTAGATAAATGCAACAAGAATATCATACTTTTTTAATAGCATTATTCTGCTTTATAGCATACAGCAACCGTTATGGTGATTACAATTCATTACAAAATAATCCCTGAGTCTTTGTAAAATGAACATAGCTTGTACAGGTATCCTGAAGAAAAAAAATATAGTTACACAAATAAACAAAATGTAAATTTAATACTCAACAAAGTGATTTTTGAAAACAAAAACAGACATTGATTACGTTTATCATCCAAAAGGCTAGATATTAAGTGAATTACTTCTGTTGGACCGATTGCAGAATTGTAAGCATAGATATTTCTTCCCCATAACACATTGATGAACGACATTTGACAGGTGAAGCCGACTTCTAAGTATACAATTACAAAGACTATGTAATGCCTCTATTGTTTATTGAAATCTTTACTAAAAGAAGAGATAGTCGAATATTTATACACTGAAGTACATGCATCTCTCGCCGTAGCTTTCTCCTATCATATCCTACTATCGTGATGAGATTATAAACGCCATCTTTAATTATCAATTTCCTTAAAGGATCTTAAAATAAACTTGGAAAACGAAAGAACCTAACATGATGGACACGGGCAACTTTGTGATCTCACATAGCGTTTTTTTGTCTTGCCTTCAACATACATTTACTACCTTGTTTTTGAAAAAGAGGTCACAAGTTTTTGACGAAAAGTCATCCTCGAACCAAGATTCGCACTGACAGTCACTCTGAGCGACAAAATCATGACACATCTAATTATAGTGACAGAGATAAAGATCGGGCCACTGTAGATTTAATCAGTCCGGAAAATATACTTAGTAATTGAATTCATTTGTCTGCGATAGAAATGAGGCTATATATATTTAAATGCGGTTTATAAAATAGAGGCCATACTGTTTATAATTCCTTGGACGTAGAACATTCACCTATGTCCAGCACTCGAGCCAAATCAAAAGCAGATCTATCAATAAAATTTGACCGACCATAAGTTCCATATTTAGTAGGCCTGTGGTCAGTTTGATTATGAACTGATTAGGAGTGACGGAAATCATTCCGTTGAGGGCTTTTGTAGATTATATGATACATGCGGTGCTGAGCTGGACAACATGCATTATGCTTTGACTGATCAGTACGTTGTCTATTCATCTGACAAGGACCTACAGAGTTTCGTGGGTTTATCTTTTAAATTATTATTAGGTTTTCAAACCACTTTGTGGCAGAACGGCTAGCCAAAATGACAGATACTTCCCTTCCCTTTAGTTTTCTGAAGACCAATGTCGTGAACATACATCGCCACTGCTATTTTGATTTTAAGACGTAGAGGAAGCATTTCATTATCGAATAAACACATCCTGGAAGAGGTGCATCACATGACAATGAAGCAAGACGGTCATGAGTAATTTATCCAGGAGACATACCGTAGAACCACCCTACCATCCACACACACAAATACACCCACGCCTAATTAAAATCTGTATTTCTAAGACAATTGCCCTTAATCATTCTGGCCCCATGACACTGCCAGACACTCTGACACTTGTTATCCCCCAACGGAAATTTCCGGTCAGTGCCATCACTTCAATTAATTTAATTGACGCATGAGATTCAGAGTATTTTGTTCTTCTTCCGCATATAGGCCTATTAACAATCTATTGCCCCTACCCCCCCCCCTTTCCCTCCACAAAAAAAAAATTGTGGTAACAGCCTAGAAATATAGAGCCACTATTCTAGGAAAAGCACCAGGACTACCATTGCGCCACAATTGCTTCTTGGACAGCTAACTCTACAATGTAGAGGGATTATGTATACATTAGGAATTACTAGCGCAACAGGGATGGTAGTCCAGGCACATGGTATTATTAATTTACCGCGGGTCCAAACAATATAATCACGCACATTCTAACCACATGAATCACTCAACAAAATCATTAAAGGTGTTTATTTTTGGCTGTCCTGGCGATTTTTGCCGAAAATGAAAATAGCGTGGTTAGAATCATGGCCAATTGAAAGTATATTAATATTCGTCATGTATCGCATTGTTAAAGGTACCATGTCCCTTTTGCAGCTAACCTCAAATGCTGTAGAACTTTGCAGGAATTATGAATATGTCATGTATGTCCTATCTGTGAAATTTAAACGTTAGCAGTGTCCTCATATTCAAATTATGCAAGGAAACCCGTTTACTTGCTAGACTTCACTGTCAGACACTATTGAGTGACTGACTGGCTTTTTTTCTTCTTTGGTAATAACATACATGAAAAGAGTTGTAAAGGGTACATGAGCATTTGTCTACATCAATAACCCACTTCTTGTGATGGCCAAGATTAAACTGATTGAGTCTTTGCGCAGCATAAAACATATGACCATTCGCTGAAAATCAAGACTATTACTTTTGGGCTCTATAGCCCTAAAGTCGATTTGACAACTAATAGTCGTTATTTTCCCACTTGAAGACATTTTCAAGCCCCACCTGTTTTAGGTAAGTTCTAAATTAGTATTATCTTTCAAATGCAGTTGGAATTTAACTTTTTCATTTTTTGGCCTGCAAATGGGACATAGTACCTTTAAAGGGGGCAACCGTGGGTGGGCATGCTGTTTCAGACAGGAAATTGGCCATAGACTAAGCTGCACTTGAATGACTCGTGTTCTCAGGCCAAACATTCCATATACAATCATCATGTTAATATCTCCAATTAGCATGTTTTCAAACTTGGGGTTCTAAATTGTTTTTGTCTCGGAGCAAGATTTATTCTTTATTGTTCTCGCGACAAACAATCGCCTTTCTATTTCACTATAAACATTGAAGTCTAGTATCAGGTGTTCTGAAAAGAACTGAATAAACATCATAGAATTTCTACATTGAAATTCGTCTGTGTATTGAATCATTCTGAAATGTTCTATAGAACCGACATCAGTCTGAGACATATTTATTTGCCAAATTTATCTTCTTTTTTTTATATAGCAGGATCAATATATGAATATTGATACCCATATGATTGCCTTTATAGTTAACATTCATTTCTTGTGTTAAAGTGCCTCTATAGTGTTGGGAGCCCCTAATTCGCCGAAAATTTGATGGCAAATTTCTGTTATTCAAAGAAAACCTAAATTTGGTATTCTTTCATCAATTTTCGACTTCAAATAAATTTGTTTTGGAGATCCTTGCAGAAATGTGTTTCAAATGACATCCTCTTTCACATTATGGTGCAATTCAAGTGAAGTTTTGCCATCAATTTGTTGGGGCTCCTAACACTTTAGAGTGGCTAGAAAAGAAATGATACTATCATCAACATTGTAACGTCTCCTCATGCATGTAGGAAGTCACCTTTCTGGATTGAATCCACCTTGCAAATATCAGTTATTGATTTAGTGATCATAGTATTAGGTAAGAGTTTGAGCCGTTAAAAACAATTTTCGTGTAAGAAGTGTGCAATTGGTTTCTTAGTAAGCCGGTGTACGAGTTTTAAAGCTTATCTGCCATAGTTTACAGGAGGGATTAGACTGCTCTGCAAGGTCACTGGACAGGTGGTTATCTCATCAACTCAGCTCTCAGTTAACATAAGAAAAAGAGGATCATGGGGGACCAATGGTCACCGATTAGGCATTGTTTGTTATATAGAGGGCGCAAGTAGCTACAAGTAGTGCAGTGGGCCTTTAAGAGGCCTATAAATGCTGAAACGAAATCAAATCAAGACTCAAGTAAATTTGTTATCTTATTTCAATATCTTGTTGGAAAAACAGACATAATTTGACTAGAGGAAGCACGTAATATGTTATCCTAACACGATTACAGCGGCCTAAGGGTGACATCTTAATCATATTTATGTTTAAAGGGTCCATGTTCTGATATAACCAGGGCAAGTCTGTATCAAGTCCATAAAACACCATTTGAAATGTACCTATCGACACGTGTCTTGTTTCTTTATGCTCAAAATCCTTTCGCAATGGAACATCATTTATTGACGATTCCACTGTAATTTTGGGGATCCTATGAAACTCTCTTATACATGTGCCATGTACACCATGTACATGCTCTATGAATAGCACAGCGCCTGGTACGATCAAGCCATCACTAATCACCGTAATCTCCGTCCATTAACTGTGAACCTTAAAGAGAAGTTTGAGTTCTGATAAAAATGGAAGTAATATGTTAACAATTTAATGCTTTTTCATGTTTTTATCCCAGTGTGGGAAAACTTATTGTTGCGACATCTCATGCAACGGCTAGCTCTTGAAGTGCACTTCTATTATAAATATGAAAAAAAATTATTCAATTTCTGTGCAAAGCTTGATGCGACATGTGTGTGTGTGTG